ATAAGCTCAGATATAAAAACAACAGATGAAACTCACCAAATAATCCATTGCTTTGCTATCCCAATGATGCTCGTTCAAAGCAGCTTCCAGAACTGCCGACTTTAACCTGTCGAATATTTCGTCACCTTCAGCTTTTCGCTGTTTCGCATCCGTTTCCACTTGTTGCTTGAACAGCTCCGACAATGTATCCCAGCCAGTCTGAAATCCTAGGCATTCATTCAAGGAAGCATTGTGAAGAGAAAATCACCACTACAACGAGAAAGAATATCAAACTGCCTAGTAATTTTATAGGAAATTCCTGACTATACGTTGGTTTCAAATTACCGGATTTAGCTATAGGAACCAAAAAATTTGCCCAGGCAAGAATTTTTTATTATTTTTTTGTAATTTTTAATTATTTTTTTTGCAAATTCATGTTCTCAGCTTCCCCCCCCCCCATTTTTATTACCTCAACCCTTTTAAATATTTTACCTTTCCACTACTTACAACAATATCAAATTCCTCTTTAATTTAACTGTCTTAATTAATTTCGTTACGATAGTCGTCGTACTAACGAGGACCAATTGTGGTAACGGTAAGAAATGTATATGACTTAGTGGAATGAAACATTTCTTACCAATTTTTTAAAAAATTTTTTATAAAGATATTTTAGAAACTTCAAAAATTATAATTCTTTTTCATTTTTCTTAAAAAGGAAGAATTATGATTCTTTTCCATTTCCTCCTTTTCCTTTTTCTTTCTTTATTTACATTACTTTTTCTTTAATTACTACAAAAAAAAAACTTTCAAATTATCAATCGTCAAGAAAAATGGGATAGCTTGGACAATCGGTGTGCGGATTTCACATTAATGAAGTTACTAGGATGCTCCCAAATGTCAGAGCAGCTGCGCCAAGCCCTTCGATTCTAAGGTGCATATCTCCAGTTAATACCTAAAACTCGTCCGATTTATGTGCTCCAGCAGGGCTCATTTTATTAAAATAACTCGCTTTGGCTTTTTTTCTTTAAATTTCGTTATATTGGCAAACGAAAATCAAAATGCATCAATTCCCTAAAAAAGCATACTTCCAGAATTAGGCAAAACTTAATTTTTAGCTTCAAATTGTTATTGACAATTGATAATCATTGGCAAACTAAGCCCCTTCCTGTTTTCAGTTTCTCTTAGTCGATTCAACATCAGATGCTAAATTTATCCTCGGTATTTTTACGAGAAATTTGAAAAAATCGAAATTTCACCTGAATTGATTTGCTGGCAAGATCCTTATCAGCCCAATGTTTCAGCTTGATATCCACCAGGGTATTGAAGGTACCGGCATTATCAACTGCATAAGCTGGCATTAGTATCTGGTCGAAAACATGGGCTGCAACCTGAAATATACTTAAATTTACGCGGAAAAAAACGAAAAAATATAGCTCACCAGCACCACCAGGTCCTAAATATAAAGATATTAGTGGTACTGAAATTTAATGAAATTTAGCTTAATTCCAGGGCAGGGCTCCTCCGCCGTAACTATACACAAAACTGTTCAAGTTCACCTACTATACACATTAAATTAGGACAATCGTGGCAGGAAATTTATAAACCTCATCACTCACGATAACTTAGAAGTTCAATTGCAGCGTTAAACGAATAATTTCCAAATATTTCTTAAATTTTTTTTTCTTTAAAAAAACTGTTAAAGTTAAAAACATTTGTTTTTCTTAAATTTTTAAAATTAAAATTCTTAAATTCCGAATTCTCTTTTCCCAAATTCGAAATTAAATTAAAATTGTAAATCCTTAAAATTAAAAAAATTAAACTTCCTTGGAAAAATTCTTAAAAAAACAAATTTCTTAAAAATATTTCTTAAAAAAACTCTCAAAAAAATTTACAAAAATTCCCTAAAAAAATTTAAAAAAATTTCTGATGCACGTGCACTTTCTTTATGAATATTCTAGAAGTTCTACTGAATCTTAAACTGTACGAGATATCGCATTAACTGCCAATTACTGCCATGCAGTCACAAGCATTCCTAAAATTTTACATAGTTAACGAATGATTTACCGCATTCCAAAGCTTCTTCTTCAATACTTTTTCCCATTGTTCAGCTGGAACAAGCGAAAGATTGACTAGTTCGTCCAGAATTTCACCTTTGGCTTTTTCAAACAGCTCATCACGATCAAGTTCACGTAGGCGTGGGAAATTATTTTTCCATTCGGTTTCCAGATTGAAACGTGTCGCACGAAATGCGTCGGCCTGTAATAGCAACAAAACAATCTCAAATTTCACCGTGGCTTACATAGGCAGATCCGCAACGGACTTCCAGCAGGGGGAGGGGGGCGATGGGAGGGGGAGTGAGGCTTCTAGAGGAACGGGGGTGGAGGGGGAGAGCCCCTTCCCATCCTGGGACTAAGCAAAAACAAGGAATAGGGTTGTAACACTGCTACTTAGAGTTACTTTAGTTCAGAGTTACCTTAGGTTTTAATTTACTTTAGTTTTAGCTTTGGACCCGGGCTATTGCAGCACTGGTGCCTGTGCCTTGGG